CTGGCTGGAAACATCTTTTTATCTGCTCAGCCAGTGGGTCTCAGGGCTCACCCCAAAGGAGCATGATACAATGCCCCTGCAGGAATGTAACAGGTGAGTGCCAGAATGGGTTTGGTCAGTGCCAAAGTGATAATGCTCCTGGAATTCTATAGAAATCGAGTAAATTAATTAAAAGAAAATGAGTTGCAGGTAGTACAAGTATTGTAGGCTTTGCAGTTAAGAGGTTGAAACCCATCAAGCATTTAAAGAGTTAATAATCCTCCATTTATTGCTGAAAAGATATCACAAGTAGCTTATTTGCCTTAGATTTAAAACAAAGTACCCAGTATCTAAGAGAACATTTGAACAGAATAAAACATAAATCTAACTATATTGCACAATGTGCATTGGTTGTGAGCAGTACAGCATGTATTTTGGACTCAAAATTATTGTTTTAATAAACCCTTTAACAGATGCAGAATTCATAGAGAATGTTATATATGATCACATTGGTCTCGAGCATTTATTTTATTATAAACACATTTATTTTATTATAAACGTGTGGACAAACAAGCCTGAAGCAATGCATGGCACTGCCATAAATAACCTAAGAATATATGATTAAATACATTTTCGTGGCAGGGGGAGCTGGTTAAGGATTGTTGTGATATCTCATATCTGCTGAGGAGTCACTTCTTGCTCTATAGTTTGCAGGGCAGGCTTGTTGTAATCCTGATTAACAGGAGAAGCTTCAAATCTGATTATATCTTTGGCAGTAATTAGATGGAGCAGTTGCCATCTGGAGACCCCTCATTTCCATAAGAACCACCTCATTCCACAGGCATAAAGAAGCATAATCCTACTGTGTCTGTAAAACTACTGCCACAAATATCCTTGGTTGGCTGTCAGGCCCTCTTAATCTACTTTCTTGACTAGAAGCCATTGTGGATTAGATCATCCTGTTATGTACAAAAGCTATAGAATCAGAAGGTCTGGAATTTTGTGTTCTACAATGCTAGGATTCATGAAACGATCCATCTTATTAACTCAGTTTACAGAAGAAGAATTTCTGAACATTTGAGAGATTGCTTATAATTACCAAAAGGATTGAAGATGAGAAAACAGGCCTGAATTTGTTTCTCAAACCGAGTAATGGAAGCTCCGTTCATGGCTGTGCTTTACAAGCAGAGGAAAGTGTTTGATAATAAGATGTTGAAGGCACGACTGCAGTAGCAGTGGATGGGCTGGGAAACTATAGTAGAATTTCCCCCCTTCTAATTTGATTCCATGATTCTGGACTTTTTTTCCAAGGAAAATGAATTTAAAGAAGAAGCTTGCTCCATTTAAGTAAATATTGAACATAGAAAACACAATCTCATTTACTTCCTTTTGAAATGGAAGAAAAAACATATGAAAAAACATGTGTAAAGAAGCCAAGTCTAATTATTAGGAAAGCATCAGCAGATTTGCTTCAGATTAACTTCCTGGGTTTTCTTCCTCTGAACAAGACCAAGTATGTTAATTTCATGTAGGTTATGACTCTGGGTAAGTACAAACCCACTCACTTCCCCCACTATCATAGTATAATTAATGCATGTTTACAAAGACAACTATTTCTGGTATTTGATCAACATCTTTATGTGTGTCAAGTTCTGAAGTTCCAGCAATTTCTTTGTATACTATTTCAGTGAAAAGGCTGTTGATTTCAAGCATCCTTCAAAAGGTATTTTGATTCTGTAAGAATACTGGTTGTGCTGTTGGTCGCACATTAAGTTACAATGCATCATCAATTGTCAGCTACTGCACAAGAGGGAAGACGCAAGGAACATGTTATGTATTTGATATATTCATAAGAAACTTCAGCAGCAGAATGTAGGAGAGCTTGCATCAGGCTTTTGTTCTTAGTGTTCACTATGCATGTTCTGGAAAAAAAAATTCTAATTTTAGAAATTGTTCATCTGGAATCATCTAGCATGGAAAAAAGCAATTACTTCATGCAGCACATAGTGTTTTATGAAGTCTCTAGAGAGCTTTGTTTATTGAATGGTATAGAAATGTAACCACTAAATAAATAAAATAGTTGAAATATGGAATTCACTTTCTCAAGATGTAATAGTGGCCACCAACTTACATGCTTTAAAAGGGGATTTGACAAATCAGGGGAGAGTAAGACCAAGTGTCTGATAGTCATGCTAGCTACAGTACATACTATGCAGAGGTGGCATTCCTCTGAGTCCTAATTGTTAGAGAACATGTGGAAGAGATGGCAGTCAACCTGGTTAGCCACTGTGGGGAACAGTGAGGAAGGCCTGCAGGTAGAACTTGTATTTTGCTCTTTTTCATTTAGAGTATAGTATATCTAAAAGGATTTGTCAAGAAGTAGCACAAACCTTTCGCTCCAGCCCTTTGTGTCTGGGCTGACTGTGGCAGGACACCCTGTATGAGTGCAAAGGAATATCATTCTTGTTATCACTAGTCAAGGCTGAACCCCAACATTGAAAACATATTCCTGATATTACATTTTGGCTTGGTTTTAATATACCTTGCATTTAATATAGCAAGTGTTTTATAATTAAAGACACAACTTGCTATGCAAGTTTAGATAGAAAAATGCCTACAATTCCCAGGTAGGGCATGACGGGAGTTGTAAGCCTTTTTTCTGTCTAAACATGCACAGTAGTGCACAAAAAACATACAATCAGGTCACTGTAATACTTTCATATACTGTAGTGTCATATATATAAATCATCAACTTTATGTAAGGGTCAGAATCCATGCAAAGTTAAACATTCTTAAATCCCACCAAATTCATTGCAAATATTAAGCACATGCTAAAAACTCCTTTTTGAAATCAGAGATTGAAAAGAATTTAACCAGCTGAATCACAATTTTACTATACTTTTACACAAAATGTGTTTTTGGCAGGCAGTCTTACAATGGGAGATAGAAGTATGTTGCATATTTCATATCACCAGAGATGTAACTGCTGTGGGAAAACAGGTGGCACATCCTCCAAGAATAAGAGGGAAATGGAAGGAGCACACAGAGGGGAAGCACTTGGCATATTTTGACTGATACTACTGAACCATTTAGTAGGTGCCCATAGCAATATGGCCATGACTTTTAAGCCTGCTATTTCATCCTTCATTTATTATTCTTTCCTCTGGGAAACTGCTATTCCTCTCCCCAAAATGGAATAATTTCTGGGGTAATTTATTCTGATATGTTACTAATATTTACCACTGTTGGGAAATTCTTCAGGTCAGGGACATTGTAGTGTACCAAGAGACCACCAAGTTAGAGAAGACTCAGCCCATTATGCCGTGTCAAGATATTAAAAAAAAAAGGTCTTAATTGTTCAAATGGCATTGACATATATAGAAGTATTATTAGTGTTTGCCACCCTGGAAACTCATCAAGATGAAAGTGTGAGCAAAGAAGGCTATTTTGTTTCTGCTGCCTTCAAATCACTAGGTGTAGGCATGTTGAGATTCATTTAAATTTGCATAACTCTAACTGCCATGGTGTAACCTGAAAAGACAGAAGGTATAACATTTTCCTTCCTTCTCTCTGGTTCAGCCCTTAGTTAAGTGCTGAGCTCACTGGGTTATATTAGGCAAGCTAGCTAATATCACTTTTCCTCAGTTTCCATACCCACAATATGTAGGTAACATTGCTTTAACTTATCTAGATGCAGTAAACATCACTCATGTAGCATACAAGAAATGCTTAGAAGAAATGTGCTATGTACAGACTGAATATTATCACTTTCTGTTTTGAACACCCTTCTTTCTGATGATGGTGTCTTACTTTAACATGTTCTTAATTCAAAAGATAAGTAGGCTTTACATGGTAATACAATATCTCTATCCTAAAGCATTTATGCCACAGTGATTTAGGTTAAATTAGATTGTACCAGAATATATAGTGTGAAACTTCATAATACGTTTCATGCCATCCTATACATATCAGCTCAGAAGTGAGTCTCACTGAATTCACCGAATCTTGGCTGAAGTCCTATATCCACTTATCTGGAAGTAAGTTCCAATGAACTCATTGGGGCTCACTTCTGAGTAGATATTATTTATTTGTTTGTTGTATTCCACACTGATAGTCCCATAGGACTCTCTAGGCAGATATGTATATGATTTCACTGTCATCTTCATGCTATTGTCTGGCCCACTGCATTTGCTGAGGAGTAATCCTATTAAAATCCAGATTTCAGATTTTATTATAAGTAATTCACTGCCAGCCATTTTATAGTTTCATAGTAATTGTAATACATTTGTCCCCTTGGAATTAGTTTACAAATGCAAGGCCAGAACCAACAGCAACAAATGCATTTCTAAAAGTTATATATTTCTTAGAGTCATTCAATAAAAAACACATATTTTCAAAAGATTCTTGACCCCCCCCCCAATTAAAATCAATAGGATTACAGTTGCAAATCAATATCTATGAAGTTCTGGGCAAAACCCAGCAGAAAGTTGTCTTCACATCTACCTTTGAAATTAAAGGGAATTATGCAAGAGCATGGGAAGATTTCCTTTTGGACTGTTCCCCATTTTCCTTTTTAAATCTTTGTCTAGCAGGTTGGTTCACCCTTGGATAAAAATTCATTCCTGCAAATGCAAGTATCTATGATGTCAAAATAAGAAATGATGTGATTATATTCATTATTAAAACAGAAACCCTCTAATTACTATTCTGGTGTGACAATGTATTCTTGTGAAGTAAAATGTTCTGTTGTACCAAAGTGATAAGATATGTGAACACAGAATGCATTGGAGAATTCTACATACATTTGCAAGTAAGCTTTGTTGGCTTAATCCTACCAGTCTTTGTGGAATTTAAAGATAACAGCATGGACCTATTTAAGCCATTGATTTTTGGCAAGATTGAGTGTTGCTGCTTATGTTAAAATCTCCTTTGTGACTTTACAGAAATGAGAACTGCAGTACTGTTGCAATCATAAGAGAGAACATTTACTTCTGCTTCTTTGTTTCTAGATTACTGACAAAATGAGTAAAACACCTTCAACCAACTACTCAGTGAATCAGCCCCACACTTCAGAGACTGAACAATCATTGTCTGCGCACCCCTTCAATGTCACTGAACCTGTTACGGCAAAACGGATCTGCTTTTATAAGAGTGGAGACTCTCAATTTAATGGGGTCAAAATGGTTGTCAGCAGCCGCTCTTTCAAGTCATTTGATGCTTTGCTTGACAACTTGTCGAAAAAAGTACCATTGCCTTTTGGCGTGAGGAATATCACTACACCACGAGGGATACACAGCATCAATAATCTGGAAGACCTTGAAGATGGGAAGTCATATATTTGTTCCCAACAGAAGAAAATCAAGCCCATTGATTTGGAGATGGCCAGTAGAAAGCCTTTGCCATGGCAGATTAGCAGGCCCCTCAGTGCTCGCCGTAGGGCTGTACAATTAGCTAGAGGGAGTGAAGGCAGTGTGTTCCAGCGAGGCAGTACCCAGAGATTAAGCAACCCGAAAAAACTGCTTGTTTTCAGAAATGGGAATGTAAGAATCCGGCATGCAATTGTCTTGACCAAGAAGAACACACAAAACTTTGAGGCCTTACTGGACCACATCAGTGAGCTAATGCAGTATCCAGTTCTGAAATTACATACCACTGATGGGAGAAAGGTATGAATATAGGGAATGTTTATTTTTTGTGGTTTCTACAGCTGATTCACACATGACTGCAACCTCAAGGTGAATGCATCATCACAGATTTAATCCCACAGATAGAACTTCCGGATTTCTTCAGAATCAGAGTGCATTTTCTTGGCGTTAACTTCATGCTGGCAGTTATCAAGTATACAGCAATCAAGGGAGGAGATAAGGGGTCCTCAATTAAACTTCCCCCTCCATTTATAGCCCCATTAATATCTTTGTATAAACTGTAACTAAAGTAAGGAAACTGGGTAATTTTGAAAGTTAGGCACATTCATGTGTGAACCAGCCTATAATTTATACGAAAGCTCCTTTTATTCACTTTCTACTTCTTTGTTTTCACAAAAACCATACCATAAAATCTTTCTCTCATAACTAAATTATTTGTTACACTGGCCAAGAAAAGTGGGCTGCCTCTCCTTTGCTTTCATTCAGATAACTGATTTATATTGCTGTTGTATTCATGGCAGCCTTAAAAGGGGTCACAGTGTTAAAGAAAAACATGAAAATCTTTGAACATGAAGTTGGGAGAGAAGGAAATTTATACCCTGGTATTTGTGACTATGTAGCTTTCTCTTAAACCACATCTTCCTGTCCTACTTCTTGTATGTATGCTTGCTTACTAAGGAGCTTTTCCAGGACACCCAAAGGAGTGGCCTCAATCTTATTGCATGTGCTTGTCACGTCACAATCCCTTGAAGCCCTGTACTATGTATAGGCTGCTCATGAGACATAATTCTATTTCTTTCCTACAAACCCTTAGGATCACTCTACCGCTTTCTTCAGAGATCCTAAGCTCTTGTTAGAAAGAGACAGAATTTACATGGGGATGGGGGGTGTTGGATGGGGAGAAATGGATACAAAATCAATGCAGAAGAGCAAATTCTCTCTACCAGTTGGTACCTCCCCTGAGTCATCTCATTCTAAAGCAAACCACTGTTTCTCATAGGCAAATCACAGTTGCACACAACTATATGTAATAAAGCTAACAGTGATATTCTTATATTTGATACAGCTGAGAGGAAAAATGCTCAGTAAATGCCCTAATCAGAGACTCAGTCCTGAACACCTTGACTAGGTTCATGCTCCATGGTGTTTCCATACCAACAATGGCAAAATGATGATTCCAAGTTCAGACAACAGGAGAAGCCACAGTGAAGAGTGAGAGAAGAGATTGGATCTGCTCTGTGGTTCCAGAAAATGAATATTATCATGCAGGTCCAGACAACACAACAGTCCCACAATGGTTAGATTTCACCATGGTTTCTTAAATTGTGATAACGTGCCCCTTGAGTTCTTGCTACCAATTTTCTCATTTTTTTTCAGTGTAAGAGCAATAACACACACCAAAAAAACTACTGGGACGGCTGTCACTGGAATTGTAGAAGTTTTTGCAGGCACAGACATTCTGGGCAAGTTCTCACAACATGACAAACCACAGTAGGAGTTAACCATTGTTGGTCTGTGGTGTTTAAATCCTGTTGTGGTATTTCACTGTGGTGCATTTGAACTTTAGAAATCACTAGCAGAAACAATTCTCTGTTCTATGGATTTTTGGTACCATCGTGCTTATTGTATTGTCCAACACAGAAAACACAACTCACCCATGGTAGGAAGGCCAGAACCAGAGTGTAGCCAGCCATTTTGTGCAGCTGCCAGAGGTGTCTCCAATCTGCCCTCCACCAAAAACATCTTCCCTGTGGCAGGATCACCTGCTTGATTTTGTGATGGGGACAACACCACTCAGTTGCTTCCTCCACTGTTCCCCCAAGTCTGCCTGAGGGAAGCCCCTTGTGTGGTCTTTCAGCAATCCATCCTCTTCTGTCCTCATCTCCATACCAACACGTGTCTTTACCTGTTTTACTCCTATTGGATGAACAATGTGCCTGTCTCCCTGTTTACTTTTGGAAACAGGGAGAAAGCAGGGGAATGTATGAAGAGAGAAGTGCAGAGACATGACAAAAGTGTTTATTATGAGGTAATAAAATTCCTTTGCTTGCTGGAGTGGCGAGAAGCATTGCAGAAATGCAAGTACATGTGGAGAAGGGGAAGGAGAAAACCAACCTCAAGATCTAAGTGGCCCAATCAGGACAAGGTTGTCGAGGTCCATAGGGAGCAACAGAGTAAGAAAGGAAATTAAAATGCATGGCAAGAACAGGAGGATGGAGCAAGGAACATTGAAACTGTGTTGCCAGAAAACCATGTGATGGTTTGACTGGTAAGTCTGGCCAAATATCCATATGCAGTGATGTATGAACCCAGCAAGAAACTTGCCTTATGACAGTAGCTGTTGAAGAAAGGAGCCTCATTCCTCCCCACAGTGCCTTCTGGGATATCACCAGGAGGACTTGGAGGGAAGGAGGTGGAAGAAGGAAGGACCTTAACCACTATGAGCAAGATGGTCTCTCAGACACACTGAGGTTAAAAACAGGTGAACTGTGGTAACCACACAGGGCTGCTTACTTTGACATGAGAAGCCTGATGTAAATTTTACAATTATTCATCAAGCAAGAATTGTTCCTTGGAACTAGTGTGATTGTGAAAAAGATAGACATAAAGTATAATTCACGACTATAAGGCTTCATTTGAAGTATTTTATTTTGTTTGATATCAAAAATATATTGCCTAATAGTTAACTCACATAGTAAGTTATGATGGCTCAGAAATGCCAAGGTTTGCCAAAAATAGGGAGGATACCCTAAAGGGCAAAAACAACAGGCCAATACGGTCTCTGCATGCTCACTTGCCACAGAATGCTAGCTATCTAGTGGGGATGGGAGAGGAATAGAACAGAGTATCCTGGAAGACCACTGGACAGGAACATTTCACACTGCAATATTTTGTTGCAGGTTCTGTGTTTGTGGTGCCAATATAGAACCCCCCCCCCCCGAGAATAAAGGATGCTAAATCAGCATATTTGGAGTATGTTGAGTGGGGCAGGCTGAGAGCTGGAGACCTTCTTTCTGCCTAAACATGCACAGGACAGTGAACCTAAGGGCTCTACCCTTTCCAGACTAGCCCAGTGGAGACTGTACAGGCTGAGTAACTGCAGAATACAAAGATGTCTGGCTGCAAGCTTAAAACACTGAAGAGAAATTTTCTTGTATTTACTGACAGTGTCAAATATTTATAGAATCATTGCTTTTATTACAAATTCTGGCCCACTGAATTCTCTCTCTCTCTCTCTCTCTCTCTCTCTCTCTCTCTCTCTCTCTCTCTCTCTCTCTTTTTTACAAACCCTGTCTGTTTTTCTGTTCCAGATTTCCAGCCTTCAGGCGCTGGTACTATGTTCTGGAGCTGTTGTGGCAGCGGGAAGAGAACCTTTTAAAGCAGGAAACTATGATCCCTATAGGTATTCTCTTCCTGGTAAACTGCCTGGGGTCTCCAATCGTGTTTACCCCAGATCAAATGCCAAGACAGAGGGCAGAAAAAGTAAGTCTCACTTTTTGAAATACTTCTCCATTTTTCTAATTTCTGTCTCCATCTATTGACCAGGTTTGCATGATCAGAATTCAATTGTAGCTTGTTACATAGAATCAGAATAGTAGAATTGAAAGGGGCCAAGAAGGATATCAGGGCTAGCCCCCTGTTCAGTGCAGGATTCCAGATGCTTCTAGTATTGGAGAGATCACAACTTCCCTAGATAATTGGATCCATTATCATATTGCTCTTAACAATCAGGAAGTATTTTCTGATGTCCAGCCAGAATCTGGTTTCTTGTAACTTGAACACATTTTTTTGTGTCCTGAACTCTGCAATAATTGAGAAAAGATCCTGGCCCTACTCTGTGGAACAACTTTTCAAATATTTGAACAGTGCTATCATATCTCCCCTCAGTCTTCTCTTCTTAATAATTAAAACCATGGGAAACAGCAAGTACAATTTCCATAATCACTGTCCAGGTGCAGCTTGCCAAGTCACTGAAATGTAGGCCTTGTAGCTTGTTGGAAGGGGAAATCAACAATAATCTACATCTTGTTGTCTGGTTACTGCTGAGCTGTTCCCTTTCACCAAGCCATGCTTCCTATGTTCAGGTGGCATGAGCAGCTGGACCCAAGTGCATCCACCGTGTTCTAAATGTGGCCACATCATGGCTTAAACAATCTTGAATGTAGTGAGAGGGTACTGTGTATACCACTCCAAGCTTCCTGGAGGTAGGATAAGAAAAATAAGTAAATAAATAAATAAATAAGGCATAACGTAACGTCCTAAATTTGAACAGCCTGCATGTATCTGCATGTCCAACCATATTGGTTAATCTGTGTGCAGTGCATTCCAGACTGTTCAGAGAAATTGTCTGTTTCAACAGTAGTTTACCCAGTCACTATTAACTATTCTACTATTCTGTGGATCACCACACAAAACAAGTTCTTCTCAGTGGTGGCATCTAAATTGTGTAATCCATTATCAACCTGAGAGATTTATCTGGCTTTCGCACAAATTGATTCTCTGTTGCAAATGGGAAAAAAGAAAGAAAGGTAAACATGTTGGCCCTACTGTTTTAGCCAACAATGATTTGGTTTCCATGTAACAACAACCGAGAGTATGAGTTCAGCATGGGTTGTCAGTGAATCATTGCTTTGGGATTATAGGTTGTCATTGCATGCAAAACCTGCACTACGGTTTAATTATGGGTTGTTAGCCACTAATAATCCAGCATTCATAACTCAAATCATAGATGCTCTCCCTGAGTTCTCTATGGTTCATAAACTATGGAATAGCCTGCTGGGAGAGATGTGTCAGATATTCTAGACTGCTACTTTCAAGAGGGAGTTAAAGATTTTTTTTTTCCTGACTGACCTTCCCAGATTAGTTTTATTTAATATGCTTGTTTTTAGTTGAAATTTTATTATTGTTGGTTTTAATCTCTTATGAACTGACCAGAGCCTATGGGAATGGAGAGATATAGAAAAATCAAAATAAAGATAAGTACATCATAATACAGGCTTTGCATACAACAATCCATGATTCAAGAGCAACAAGACATTCTCACCTATAGTCTATAGTCACTTATCCTTATTTGGTTCAGTGCTGAGATCATTGTATTGTTTTCAGATAATTTGGATGGAAATATACATATCTATACAAAATGAAATAAATGGTCAAAGGTTATGAAAAGTGTTACAGTGTTGTTAATTACCTAACTTTATGCTTTTTATAACTAAAACAACTGGTAGCACTTCAATCACAAAAACTTATTAAGGCATAAACTTTTCATGGATTTGATTTTTGTAAGTATGAATATAAACTGTATGTGATAGTTTTAATTACTGTTTGGAAGCTTTAGCCAGTTTTGAATGCACTGGTTCTTGTCTTAGTAAGTCACAGGAAATGTATCTGTTGCCCTTTTAAAACATGATAAGAAATTTGTTTTCTTCCTATCTACTGTACCAGCTTTTAAATTCATTACTTGAATGATTTTAGAGATTGTAATGGTAGAAAGGAATCTGTAGCTATGAAAGATTGGGTACCAAGAAAGATGTTCTCAATGACTGTACCACAATGGATTAATATTCTTCTTCGGGCACAAAGCCTGGAGAATATTCAAAAGTTTGTAGAATTTTTTTTTTTTTTTTAGTTTCTTTTTCATTTTTTCTTTTGGTAGCTCCGTTAGGCAATCTGGAATTAAAAAATTCTTGGGATTTTCTATCTTAAACATACTTTCTGATATGTAAGCCCAACTGAGCAGAGTGGAACTTACCTTCACTTAAAGATGTTTAGGACTATACTGCACATCTATTTAGCCTGCTTACATTTGTAATTTTAATTATAATTAGCTCTGAATTAATGGTAAAGCTAGAACTTTAAATGTGTTAAACTTGAAATATATGAGAAGTATGAGAAAATGAAAGAAAAGTCTAGACTACAGCCATCTCTTATTTTAGTTCTTCTGAAAGAACACTAGAAAATACTACACAGAATTGCATACTTTTTGCCAAAGCAGTATATTTCAGCATAAATGATATTCAGACTAGACATATAAGGGCCTAGAGTTAAACCAGAAAAAAGGAAAGGAAAAACACTTTTTGTGGGTTTCCCCCTAATGTTTCTGTTCCTTCTCCTCCAACATTTCCTATCACTGATCCAGAATACATGTCCATGTAGTATGTATGCCTATAGAAATCGCTCCTCCAATATGCAATGTTAACTGCATGTTTTTATACTAACATTTTTCGTATTTTCTCTTGTCTCTTGTCTCTGCTGCCGCTTCCTTGGATGGCTATGTCTGAATACTGTCTTCTGCATCTTTCATCTAATTTTGTCATTTGGGGTGATTTCAATAAATTGCTTGGAAGGGAGTGTACAGATAGATTCAAGCTCCAGGTCACAGATGTTCTCTGCTTCTTCTTACAAAGGCTACAGTAATGACAACAACTCAGATTCTTCTTACATTGCTGACAATGACGCGGGGTTAGCAGAAAATCATTCACATACTGGTGAACCTGTAGATGACATTGAGAAGTCTGTTCATCTTAATCAAGATGGCAGTATGACAGTTGAGATGCGAGTTCGGTTCAGTATAAAAGAAGAGGAAACCATAAAATGGACAACATCTGTTAGCCGTGCTGGCATCTCTGCAGTCACTGCAGAAGGGCAGTCATCAGAGATTTTGCCATGTAAGGTACCCACAGAGCACATCAATGGTGTGGAAAGCAATGCCTCATTGCAACAGATTGACACAGAAGTGACCGATCAAGACTCTGCAGGTAGAACGGAAACTAGCAATTATGACATCTGGCAGAATCCTGCTATGAACATGGATCTTGGTCAGGCAAATAATGATAATGTCAAACCTCGTTTTCATAGACCTCCTACTCCTGGGCCTAGAAGAGTCAGGCAAAAGAAAGCATTGGTTGGAAGTGTAACTGTAGTCTCAGACACAGCAGTCCAAAAAAGGATGGTAGGGCAATATTCTTACAGTGAAGAAATGGGCCATGGTGAAACCAAATCTGAATATTGTGTAGTCACTCATGCTAGCAGTACAATATCAAATGTCACTAATCCCACGCTTAGTGAGGAGTGCAGCAGTCATGTGCTGAAACAGTTGCAGGATGACCAGATAGAGGAAGACACGCTGAACAAACAGGCAATTCAAAGTTCCACAGAACTGCTTGGTAGGGAGGGCACATTTCAGAATGCTTTGGAAAAACCAGTTGTAGAGGAAGGCTTATATAACAGTTTAACATCTGGCTGTGATTCTGGTACAAGTCACACACAATCTTATCTAGAGAAGTGCCATGCATCTAGACAGCCATTGCCTAAACCAAGAGGTACAATAGAAGAGGAACAAAGCTGCTTCAATAACAATTCAGAATTGTCCCAGTCAAACAGTGAGGAGATGATAAGCAACCAGTGTAGGGTCTTACATTCTTCTCAAGCTTCAGTACATTGCTCACTTCCTGAAAGCAATAAAACAGGATGCAATTATGTCCAAATGAATCCTGCAGTAACAGGATCCTCTTCTATTATGACCAAGAATGGTAGTGCTGAATGTATTACAGCTTCCCATCCCTCTGATGGAAGTCAGGCTGCATCATCCATTAGCAAGAAGAAGAAAAAGAAGAGAAAGAAAAAATCATCCTCAGATACTACAAAACAAGGTATAGGTTCTCAACAAAACTTGCATGATATATCCATAAATGGAACCACTGAGAGTGAAGTAAAGACTTGTGAGATGCAGATTACAAGAGACAGTACTCAGCACTCCTCAACCCAAATCACAGTTCATAAAAGGGTAGTTGCATTTCCCGTTAGCAACTCAGATGGTTCTAATAAAAGCATAAGTGGCAAAGAAGATTTCTATAGTGAATTTTCAGCAAAGCCCCAGCAAGATGAATTAGTATCTCTCCCAAAGAAGCTAAATAAGAAATTGCCTAAGCTAAAGGCCAAATCAGAAAAAAGACATAATTTGTCACCCACTACAGAAAATGAAAAAGCAGTGGTATTAGTTAAAGATCATTCAAAATTTGAAATTGAACAGATTAAAGAATGTACCTGCAACATCACTACTGGGACAGAACAATGTCCAACTCACCTAGCTTCTTTAAGACCACTTGTTAAAGCAGGTCTTACAGATACAGAAACGGAGAAGCTTCATTCAGATAAGTCACACAAGTCATCAATGAAAAATAAAAAAGCAAAAAACAATAGAAAAACAGAAAATCCTCAGGGTAGTAAAGGCAAGGTGTTGGATGAAATTAAAGTGTTGGATGCTTTGAAGCATAAAAACTTTACAGATAAAATTACAGAACATTCTCTTGAAAACTATGTCCAGAGCTGGTTGCAGAATGTATTTCCAAATGAAAAGCATATAATTCCCATAAATTCAAATGACAGAAAAATGTGTCAGCTGTCTGCCAATTCTTTTCCAGATAAAGAAAGCCAGCTAATTGAAAATAATGTATATCTAACAGGGAAGAATAATATCAGTG